GTTGCATGCACATGTCTGGGGATCCAGAAAACAACATTCATTCGGCTAATAAAGCTATTGATAGGTGCCTGATTATTGATGCAAACAGAACACAGAAGTATGGAATTTCGCTCAATTCGGCAGCATGCAATCTGTCATAGCATTTTAGCTACTGTTTAAACAAGCTCAAAAACAAAAGCAAAAAAATAAAGGTCTTTGGAAAAATATCGAACCTGTACAATCGTATATCATCAGCTGTCGCTGGGAAACACCAGAACACAACGGAAAGAAACAACTTGTCCGGCAACGAGTGGGATACAGGAAATTCACTAGTCTGGAAAGCCACAAATGCATATAAATACTCAAACATAAACAAATAGCAGTAAATAATAAAGCCACACGACTATTAATGCCAAAACCAGGAAAGAAAGAAGGAAGCCAACCTGCTTCCTACTCTGACAAATGTCACGATAATTCCGTTCCAGTTCGACAAACGACATCTGACGAGCACACACACGCGCAGCTAAGTCGGACAGTGAGGCAACTGTTTTGGGGGCTAAAAATTTGGAAGATTTCAGGAGAATATGGCGAAAATGAAGAAATAAAAAGAAAGCAAAGAAAAAGAAATTAACCTCATAAAATCTACAGAATCAACTATAATGAGAAGGAACAATGCAAACCGCTCAAGTACGTGAATTACAGAACCAACAGGATACCTTTTTCTGCTGAAACACTTCTTTGAGTGACAGTATTCGAAGCCGATGAATATCGTCCCGAATGTGAATAGCTGCACTGATAAGGATAAATACATGTGGATATACCTGTAATAACACTATTTCGGGAAGGCTAGAAAAATCGAAACTTAGAAATCGAATATGGATTCGGAAGCTGAAATACCAGAATTAATTGTATTCACCTGATTGAATGGTATCACCAGGTGAAGATTGGGACCATCCACGCCAATTCTTTGCGAGAGTGATACTCTCACTGGATACCCAAGAGCATTCAGAGTCACCTTCAAAGCGATCCGAATCCTAGAATAGTTGAACATGACATACAGCCGGTCGTGCAGAGTAAAAAAGAGGGAAGTGCATTAGCCTCAGGCGAAGAACGCATTCTCGAAGGCGAGACATGTACTCCCGTCACACGCGCTTAGACTTCCAACGCTTAAAGCTGATGCAAGCCGAAAGGTCACTGATGCTAACGATGCACAATTTCGATTTGGCATATCAATCCAATATTACTAAGGATGCTAAATTGTGTAAAGCGCCTCCCTGCGTACAAGCATCTAACAGCTCTCATTTGCGGAATGACTTCGATCTGTCATGCTCGATTAAGTCCTCGACATGGCTCTAGCCAAGCTACGGTGGCATCCGAATTCTCTAGCCTGTTCTCAGTGCGAATTTGTATTCTCATTGTTCAATTTAGCACAATGGTATTTGAGAAGAACAATTTCGATAATCACTTTTTCTGCTGCTTGATTTGAAAAAGCAGACTACTAACGGTCCAAAACTCTTGTAAGCTTGTGTTGACCAGGCTCAACCATGTCCCCACTATCGATATTTTCAACAAATCAAAAATGGTGATTTTGAGACACTGATCCTACCACCCAACCAAAAACTACGGCAATTATTTGTAACCATTATAGCTCTGAGAGGCTTTTGAACAACTAAAATTACTGGAATTGCTGTTTCGAAACGTTTGCATGCGACAGAAGAGATCTAAAAGGAGAAAAGTGTTAGCTATGCGATCCGTTTTCTTCGCCCGATCAGCTAGACGGTTGGCCACTTATGGCCAAAACTTCAGTATAACCAGCAGGAATAGCGTCTTTAAAATACCATTTACTCGAACAGCTGCAGCCTAGCCTAGCTGATACACAACATGAAAACGTTTAAGGTGTGAATTAATGGACTGCTTTGGAAACCTATGCAGCTTTATCGCGAGAACATCATCAAATGACATAGATTGCTAGGTTTGCAGCAAGTAAGGTATACTTCGACTGGGATTCGATTTATTGGCACCAAATTTTCACGGCGACAGCCTTTTTAGCTAGAAAAATGATCAAAACAATTTGAACGCCCAATGCTAGATCCGATGCTTATTTTGGCAGCCGCTACCCTGGCTTTTTTCCGACATCAGAAATATCCTTCTATCAGACTAGCTGGAAATCCTGCCAACACAACGAAACTTTTGACTACAGATCTTCTGCATAGCTTTTCAGAGTTTGAAGATGATCAGTGCCAGTTTACCCCGCCCATAGGCGCAAAAGGTTACATGAAAAACTAACAAATTAGACTACATTCACGAGGACTACAGATATATGGAACTGCGCGCGATGACCCACCGTAAAGCGCGCCGCGGATTTGTGCACCTAGATTTTCGTGAGATGTTTTAAAGCAATCTTACAGCATTTCCTACATAAAAAGCGCAAAAGAAAGGGTTGGTTCAAAAAGAAAAAGAAAATCTGAAACGCACTCTGCTGAAAGAAAACAAGCATGGTTTCAAATCCAGGGAAAAAGACGAAAATTAGTAAGAGTGGTAAAAGGGCTGCTTCAGCGGCATACCTCGAACGAGTCAGGTGCTGGAGGAAGCATGCCAGCTTCACGAGCTGCGGCCTGAACTAACCAGTCATCCTCGCCGGACATCCCATTCAGTTTATACCCGGAGAATCTGAAGTACAGTGGAATAAGAGTCACGAGATGAGATGAAAACCTTAAAAATCAGCGAAAGACGGTGAAACATTCTTCAATTCTGGCATTTATTATAATGCAAGGGGAAAAGTTTTCACAAATAAAAAGAAAGGGTTAGATGGAATATTATAAATACAAATGCATTAGATGTAATGGCGCAGTATAATACATGGTATATCAGAACTAGTGAGGTTCTTATTAACGAGTATGCCAACTGAAAGGAGGATTGCCGTTAACGCTGAAATGAGTCAGACTGATCGCAATTCTTGGACTTGCTCAAACACATTCAACGCCACCATTCTTCTTCATTGAACCACTTGCGAAATCCGGAAGAAAACCAATGGCCGCTGATTCATTAAGATGGGAGTAGAGGCTCCACCTCCACATTCATGAGGTCTGAGGGTAAAGCAAGAAAGAGAACATGTAAAGATAGGCTATGGAGCGTCCTTAGCCGACTCTAGACAAAAGAAGGACCATTTCTTTGAATTAAAGAAAATAAAATCCTGCCCATAATAGGGTCACAGATCACAACAAAAAATCTCCCCAAGAAATGCGACTGATGTTATAGCATTTACGACGAAGCGTACCGTAGTTCTTTCACCAGAGGGCGCGGGAAGAGTGAAAATTATTTGAGCATTCGGAATTTGCTTCTTCGATAAGCATGGGTCGAATTTAAAGAGATTTGGATTGTAAAGTGCGCTGCAGTGTACCCCTTCATTTCAGCCTTACCCTACTCTCGTAAGTCGTCAGAAATAAGCCCCAATCGTGACCAAAATTGGGAATTTCACAATGTTGAGGGCCGTAAAATAAGAAGTCGAAAGGGCAGAAATGAAACTTGTTCCGGCAGAGCGTTCGTACAGTCATCCGTTCAACCGTAACGCCTGGTCTCATAGCGTACCCCTGTCCCCTCCCCTAGGTAAACGGCCGTAGCCTATCCTTCCTCCAGAGAAGAACATCCTTTGCCGCTGATTTATCCTAAGCTTTGTGGGAGACAGTCGTTACTTCAATAGGATTCGACCATTAAAACGCAGTGATGAATGTACTCCTACCTTCCCTAAGAGGTAGTCGTTTCCTCTGGAGAAATCTGGCTGTCGGAGTAAAAAAAACCAGAGCATGGCTAGTCCTATGACACAGTGCTGTTCCCTAATGATAGGAAAAGATCGGCGGTGGGGGACGCGTACCCTAGAAGGGTAGGATACGTGTGGGTAGTGTATAGTGCTTGTCGGAGATCCGGTCTAATGTTTGTGAAAAATCTCATCGAATTCGCAGATTTTCATTGAGTATTTTTGTAAAAATTTTTCACATCAATTTCACTGAAAAATTTCAAAAGCTATGGTATCCCACCCCAAAGACCATGTGATCATAACTGACTTCCACCTCGCCAAAAATGCAGCGGCTAGTTTCAAACATACATGCATCTCAACAAAGTTAAATAGTGACCCTTTTCTGAGATTTCGACACCGTTGCATCATCAACCCGCTCACGTCTCACACCTTCATTCTACAGCTGCCTCTTGCTTCCGGCGTCCTCACAAATCCACTAGTCTCAGATGAGGACTGACGAAAGCGTAAGGTTCAGAGTGCATTGTTTTCGTTACAAATGGCCCTGTGTCGTCTCCTTAGAAACGATGCATGCGCCGATGTCCTTTACCTATTGTAGTAGTAGATATCTACGTGACAAACGAAATAACAAACGCGAGAAAGATAAATTACTAAAAAAAGGAAGTATCAATCGTAAATGAAAGGTGTGAAGTTCGAAGCGATGCTGCTTCTGAACGGCAACACGATCAGGTTTGAAATAGCGCTGGTTTAATGCGATACTGCGATGACCACTATCAAATGCAACGATTGATAGGCGGCAATGCCAAGAAAGCCGACGATCCCGTTCCTAACATGTCATTACCATAACTGTCATTATGCACTGTAGCAATTGAATATATAAAGTGATTTTCTAGTTATAAGCTGAACTACAGCAATTCAAATGAGCTAAATATGAGCCGCCTCCGCAAGCAAAAGTATAGCATTTCAATTGATTGGTGGTCAATTTTTATGATTACTTCGCTGAAAATGGAAGCAGCGGGGCGAATGGACTGGCAACGAAGAAAACAGAGCGAAGGGAAAACCTGAAACACTGATAATAAACACCTTCTTTACTTGAGGCTTTAGCGGATTAAAAAACAAGATGCAGACAATGAGGTAAGATGCTGGGAGAAGAGGAGAGAGAAGGAAACAGAGGCGAAGCATGCACACGAAAAAGAACGGACTCAACCCAAGCTCATTCCGGGTTTCTGGGAGGGGGGGGGAGAGCATCCCATGTGCTGGATGGAGCCCTGTGTGAATTCATCACCATGAAGCCTTACAGGGGGGGGTCTTTCAGGCAAGCCGCGCTTTTTGGAAACGGTTTCTTGCATATTGTAGGGACGCATGTATGGACCACAAAACCATGTTTCGTTTTCGCTGAACGGTTTTAGTAGTATCAAAAAAGTGGTGAATGATACCCTTGATGGTTCGATCCCCCGCGGCGACTAAATTTTGCAATCAAGGTTGGCGGCCACTTGTTGGCTTCAAAATGGTCCTGACGATGAATTTGACATCTGATTTTGATATTTAGCGCGATTTGGCACCAAACCGTAGGCGCCAACCCAAATGCAAAATTTAGTCGTAATAAAACGGGGGAATCGAACCATCAACATTATGCCTTAAGCTTCTTTTTGGTACTGATAAACCGTTCAGCGAAAATGAAACATGGTTTTGTGCTCCCTGCATGCGCCCCTACAATATGCAAGAAACCTTTTTGTAGAAGCTGGCTTGCCCTGAAAGACCTCCCTTGTAGCGCCTTTTGGGGTTCCGTCCAAGTCGGTATATCCTATAAGGAGTACAGTAGCGTTTTTGCTTGGCGGTTTCGTCAAACTCGGTACGTCCTACGAAGAGTACAATAGTCTTAACGCTACAAAGAGCTCGCAATTTCAAGCAAATTTGAAGGTGCGTTCTAAAATTACTGTGGGGAATGAAACCCACAAGGAAGAAACGCAGGCTGAGCAACAAGCTCAGAGGCACTGCGCGGCATGAATTTGTTAAGGTATAGCTCTGAAGCCAAAATGCTGGGCTTCCATGACCCCTCTTACCCACGACTCCGCACCGGAATTAGCGTTGTGGATACGATTGCGTCTCACTCAACTATGCGCTTCCTCGTCTCCGCTATATCTGGTTCCCGCTATTCTGATAAGCCCTAACCAGTCATATTCCGGTCTGGAGTGGGTTCATCTATCGCGAATATCCGCTGAGAATTCGTGTCTCATGCGTCAACGAACACGGAGTACAGTGATGTCCTAAGGCGTGGGTAGAGAACAGATGGTGAGCTCTCGGCGCAAAAGGACTTCTTGCGTACAGTCCCTGAATGGCTCGAGCACTTGTTTCGCGACGCAAAACTCTTAATGCTCAACAAATAAAACTCCCATGGAATGGATAAACCTTGACAGCGTCTTTGGCGGTTCGGATCGGCCTATGTTCTTGCGTGGTGATGCACTTAGCTCTCATATTTACAGTGATTTTTGGATGCTCACTCCTTGCGCCCAACTGAAACAACAGTCGACACGTGCAACGAAGACTTGAAGAGCGTTAACATCCACCCCGATCAAGCATTCAATCGGGAGAAGTGGCGTCAACACATCAGAAAAGCGGACCCCGCCTACAAGCGGGACAGACGCTAAAGAATAAGAAGAAGAAGAAGAAACTGATCATACTAAACAAAGTGCGGGAATGTGCATACGAAATCAATATAATATGGCATACTGCATGCACAAAGTCTAAACTAATACACGGGATGCGGAAGTATTGGGCCCAGATTTCCTTGGCATGCATTGTTCTTTTTGTTTTTACAGAATGAAAACATCGAAACAATTATTCAGTTTTGCAACACAACCTGGGAATTGCAATGAATTGAGTCCTTTTTTGGTGAGAAACTCGCCTCGACCCGCCCTGTGGGAAGTAGCAAAGAAGTTCATCCATCAAAACCATGAAAACATCATCTAAGAGATTGAGAAAAACACCAAAGTCCTCAACGGTTGATCAATTCCCGATTTGATAGATTTTTCTTCACGATACTCCGCACAATGCGGTGAGAAAATGCAACAGTCTGGACTTTGGTCGGGACGAATTCGGGGAACATGCACGGAACAGCGCCACCAATCTTCTACAACGTGGAATTTCATGCAGAGCGCTGTTGGGGAGAATCTCGGTCCGAAATGCATTCTCTAAGAAAAGTAATGCACACACTATTCTACAGAACTACCATACAGTACGAAATTTGCTATATTTATCCCGTTGCGAGCTCCGCTCGACTCTTACGTGAACATTCAACAAGGAACATGGGCAGATGCCACTGATGGAGTTCTGGTTCTCTTTGTTATTATTTGGACCAATACCTTTTTTCTGACCCCCCCCCCCCAGCTCCCCTCTTCGCGCCGCTCCACTAATTCCACTTTAGATAAGACTGCTGAGCTTTTTCCGACTCGACCCACTTCAAACCGGAACAAACCCATTCCATCCTCTTATCCTTCCCAGTGCAACACCGAAGCATAAAGAAGTGATAAAGAAGGGATAATCTTGAACTTCATTTTCTCCCGAAAATCGACAAATCATACGAGATACCCCATTCTTTTCCATGAGAAAACAGACCGATCGGGTGGACAACCTTATTTACCTTACTGAACACCACTCAATAATAAAACACTCGCGAAGTGATTCATCGAAGTATCAGTACTTAAATATGCTAGCAATTTGGAGCAATTGAATATTGAAAAGGGTACTACAACAATCGGAACGACAAAATGCTGAATTTATTGAAAAAACTTCCGCTGACCAAATATATGATAGAATATGTGAAAATTTTGAGTATTTGGGAACTTTCAAACATTTTATCAACTAGAATGAAAGTATGTATCAATTCAAACATGAAAGCATTGTAAAGCCGGATTCGCTTAGCTAGTAAGTGTGGAATAATCCTAAGAAAAGCTGCTGCTTAAACAAAAAAATAGAAGCAGACTTGCAAAAAGGCCTCGTTCTTAGAACAACGATCCTGATATTCTCGACAAATCCTCTTCTAATCAGAACACTCAGGCCTAGCAAACTCCAAAGTACTGCGAGAAGGAGCATGGACTTTGGAAACAGAAACTATGAAACGAAGCATAAAACTAACACTGCGGAAAGCAACAGCTCATCAGTAAGAAACCGGCAAATAAGGGTTTCTAGTAAGAGGGTTCTACAGAGAACACTTTACAGAATAACTGGGCTACCCTTCCGTGCCTGTTCAAGAAACAAATGGTGAAATCCAACTGGTGCCGGGGGCCTGGCGCTGGACCGCCGACAGGGCGGCGTTCCGCTCCGTGCCGCCTGACCGGCCTCTGCTCTGCGTCTCTGCTCCAAGTTGTCGCGCTGTCTGACACACTCCACCGCCAATGGCACTCTCTCGCTCTCGCACTTCTCTCGCCAAACGCGCGAATTGCAAGGATTTCAATATCGTTGCTTGGGGTCACCTCTTCGGTTGTCCATATCGTTTTCAAGATTTTTTGTCCAGATTCTTCTATTTATGCGTATACGTTGCCCTTATAGGTTCTCAGAACTGTCCATTGCCTTCTTGTGTTTCAAAAGGTCAACGCTCTCTGTATTTCGCAACCTGTGGTTGACGAGCGGTTGCCACTAAACTTTTTTACGGTCTTGCGCTTTATGAGTATTGTTTGAAATGTCGAACGACGTTTGAAATGTATTACGTATATCCGGGTTCAATAGTGTTTCATCGCTGCAATCGTGTCAGTTATTATCCCGAGG